CTGCTTCAATGGGCCTGTTCCTCATCTGTAAAATGGGGAGTAAAATAACACCTCACAAGGTTGTATCAAATGAGACAACAGATGTAAAACACTACACACATACTAGCTGCTATCATCCTCATCCTCTTTATTACTGTTTTTGTTGTAATCATTATTAGGGAGAGCATTCCAATCATGGGAGAAACCAGCCTGAGCACCATATAGATCACAATCACAGATGCAGAGATGGAAGAGACCTTAGATGTTATCTAGTCCATCATGTTTATTTCACACGGAAGGAACCTGAGGCTCACAAAGGTCACATGATTTGTTCAAGGTCACACACGAAGTAAGTGAAAAGCCAGGATTTGAACTAAGGTCCTTTGACTCCAAATCCAGTGCTCTTTCCACTGTCCTATGATATCTTTCCAATTTTTGGCAAAAGAGTAGTCAGGGTTCTTTTGGACTATATGGAAAATCAATGTACATGTAAACAGGGATGTGGAAGGATGGTTAGAGAATAATTCATGTGAAAGAAAACTAGGTATTTTTAATTGACTAATCAGTAAGCATTTATTAGTTTCCTCATCTGAAAGTGAGGACAACAATACTCGTAGTACCTTTCTCAGAGGTACTGAGTTTCAAAGATCAAATGAAGATAAAATGATTTAATGCATGGATAATGTAAGTTTTACAAACTATTAAATTCTATAATTATTGTTGTTATTTATAGCTCTCATGATGAGCTGAACCTCTTGATTGTCCCCCAAAGAAGGCACAATGGGTTGTTCCAACACTAGCTAGCTAACCCTTAGTTATCACCATTCAGGGACCTAGGGAATTTGCCTGTAAAAATAGCATGATAAGGTATATGACCTGAGCTAACCCTTCCTCAACTATGTTTCTCTAACACAGCATGTTTAACTATATAAAGTGCAAAAATGGAGAGTGGAGGGAAAGGGTAAAAACTACATACAGATTAATTAAATTCAGGTACAGGGTTCCTTTTATTCAATTCAGCTTGGTATAAGTTCATGCAAAAGCTAACTTCCACAGGCATTTTCAACTTTCCTTCTGAATTCACTCACATCCACCTCCACTTCCAGCCTAAGGCCAAAGTAATTTGTCTCAATTCTCTTGGTCCCAGAGGAAGTAAGAGCCTTTCTGTCTTGGTCCCAAGTTGAAATAGCTTTCCTCATAGCTACTTGAATTCTGATTCAATGGCTTCCCTGGATTCTATTCACAAAACTTCTTTGAATTGGACTTTCTTTTTTCTAGTTGTGTTGAGCTACCTTTCCTCTAAAAGCTTCTGCATCATTTTTAACTTTAGAGATATCCTGAAAGCTCCAAGACTCTCTGTAAAATCTTTCCACAAGCATCACCATTTAGGGATTGTAATCTTCCCTCCTGGGTAATTTTTCTTACAAATATACATAATGGACACCCATTCAAAGCCATACAAATTTGCAGAAATATCTATCTATCTATATGTATACATGTGTACACACACACATTTATCTAGAGATTAGAGAGCAGTGAATGTTCAGATTAGAAGGGTTCCTAGTGATCATCTATTCCAACTTCATCTCCATGTGATAGGAAGAAACATAGAATCATAGATGTTGACTTGATTAATGGTGATCAGCTAATGGTTAAGGAAGACTCCATGGCAGAAGCAACCTTTCAGATATGTTTTAAAGGAAGGAAGACTATACCCTCACCAACACATTTGTGGATCACACAGACACCGGCAAAGCAGTGAAGCAGAAGTGATATAGGAGTGAAAGACTTGGTGGTATCCTCAGAATCTGATGGATATTTTCTCAGAAAAGGGAGAAGAGAACAGGACCAATGGGAAGGGTTGAACTAACTCCCTGGTATCGAGAGTTCATAGAATTTTAGAACTTAAAGGGACCTAAGAAATCATCTAGTCTTCATTTTACACCAGCTACAAGGGAGTCTTTTACCTTATTTAATGTGTATGAGAAAGAGAGGGATTGCCAAAAATCCAAGACCTCCAAAGTATAGTAAAGGAGGCTTAAAAATGTATAATTAAAAGGGCAAAGGAGCGCTGAAGATGGGGAAAAAAATTGCAATTAGGGTTGACACCCTTGGAGACACGGTTTAGAGCATGAAATTTATGCAGCTATAATACAGTGAACTTATGTAGGGTCTTTTCCATTCCTTCCACCTCAGCTGCTAATGCCTTTCTTTCTAAAGCTACCTTTCCTCTATTCTGCATTTGTATTTTATGTACTGATTTAAGCATATGTTGTCTTTCCCATTAAAACAAGGAAGATGAAGGAAATGGTGTGCAGATTAAATACTTCCCAAAAAAAGTATACATACATTTTTAAGCTTAATCTGCACTGTTAACATTTTCTCTATCACTTTCCTAAGTCTAAACAATCAACAAAATAATAAATCCTCATTTTATAGTGTTTGCTGATTTCTGAGATATAAATGCTGCTCACAATGAAAATTTGAGTTAGCTCTCATGAGCTGATTTGAGCTGGCACACCTTGGCACACCCTTGGCGAGGTGCATCTGTATGGAGTAGGAACAGTGAATGAGAGGTTGGAGAGGACAGCAAGGAATGGTAGGCAGTGGAATCTAGGATAGGTTGGCAAGGTACCCAACAGATGAACCTGAAACCTTCAAATACATAGTTTTTTTGTTCATTCATCAAGTATGGATGATAGATTTGTAGTGAAAATATGCACTACTATGTAATCCTTTGATGTTTCTTAGACTCCATTTCATGATCTGGGGTCCATCTTGTATCCCTGACTTGTGATGCAGTTTTACTTTACTGGGGAAACTTATTAGGTGGTTTGCTGAATCCCCTCTCAACCCCACACCTTGGCTTTCCCTGACTGTACCCAGATAAGTGACCACCTCCTCCTCTGTTTCTTGGTATAAGGCCATCAGACCATCTCCTACACTGTCTTTTGGCATAAGCCATCATTGTCAAGATGATTAAGGTCAGAACACTGGGTAGGATTTCGCTTACTCTGGACCTAGGAGATAGACCCCACTGCTTGAGGTGGCCACGCCCAAAGCAGTGGCAGGCCTTTGATCACCGTGCACTTGGAGAGAGCCACCTCTCCTCCGTCATCCCCTCCTCCCCCAAATCTGGGGGGATGTCCTTGGAGATCACCGTAAAAATCCCATTCAAATCCTTAGTCAGAAGAGCAATCACTGACAGTCCCTTGAGAGTGCGATTGTCTTCCACTCTCAGTTGATGCTTGGGAATCAGCTCTTTCTTCCCACAGATAGTACCTACTTCCCTGAGTGGCATATCCTTTCCCCCATCATATTCTTCCATTCTCCTCTTCCCTACTGCTTACTATAGGTTTCTCTACTTGAGCATCCAAAGCTCAAGCATTGTCCTCTAGATCTTGTTTACATCCACCACCAAATGGCGTGGTAAGTGTCAATGTGACCCTAATAAAGCCTCATGTAATAACTACTGGAGTTGACCCTTCTTGTCAGAATGTAACCGAACCAGCTGAAAGGGCAATAATCTGAGCGTGGGCCACGGCTACCTCACCTTAGTTCACGGGCCGCTGACCAAAGCTGAAACTAAGTTTACTGGTAGCCTCACCTTCACAGATGGAACGGGACAAGCAGCCCTACTGCCACCCTCTGTCTTCTTCAAAGAAGAAGGGCTCGGACAGAGAACCTCATGCTTCAGTGGTAAATCACTAAGGTTAGCTTCATGAGCAGGACTTACTGCCTTCAAAGAAGACAGCAACGGCTGCAGGCCTGAACCCCATGCCTCTGTGACAGGGAATTCTCCCTTTCTCATGTCCCTTAGATGCATGAGATCTTGACTAGGACTCTTGAGTACAACTCCTGTGCACCAGTGGAAGGGAGTTAATCCCCTGTCAGGGTCGAGGCAAGGCTCGCACCCCTGTCAATACAAGGTCCATGCACATAAGACTTCATAAAACCTGAAGGTATCAATGTTAGTTGAGATAGTTTAATATTCTCAAAGCACTCGTTACTACACTACCTTCAAAATCAAAGGCTACAGAGGGGGAGCATAACAAAGTCAATAGACTGCTGACCCTGAAGCCAAGAAGACTTGGGTTTATGTCTTTCCTCTGATACAGTCTAGTTTTATGATTGTGGTCAAGTCATTTAACCTCTTACTGCTCTAGGCAACTCTTTAAAACTTCAAAATCACAGCTAGGTGGCACAGTGGATAGAACACCAGCCCTGGATTCAGGAGGACCTGAGTTCAAATCTGGCCTCAGACACATAACACTTAGTAGCTGTGCAACCCTGGGCAAGTCACTTAACCCCACTGCCTAGCCAAAAAAACAAAAACAAAACAAACAAAAAAAAACCTTCAAAATTGCAGAGGCAGTACCAACCTGCATTTACAGAGGGAGTTTCCTAATCTGGGAGACTTCCCTATGTGAGTGAAAACACAGGCCTAGTCCCTAAGTACTACAACAAAACGAGGATTAAATTTTAAATTAGCTATAAATTTTTCCCCATCTCTATGCTTTTAATATGGAGCTGAGTAGCAACAAAATAAAATCAGGGATTTAATTTTGAAACACCAATATCTGCGGTATAGCTGAATCCACTGTATCTTCTACTACTATACTTAAACTATTTCATGATAAGAATTCATAATCAGAATTAAGGCTTTGTAGTAAAGGAGGTCCCAAAAGTCTTAGTGCTTAACACTGTACCAGGACTTTTGGAATACCCTTCATACTTAATCAAAGAAAAACACAGCATCATTTATTCAACTTACAAAGAAAGGAAAAGATACCAAAATCTTTTGGAAAGATTTCAACAAGGAGAGGTAGGGCACTAAAGGAAACTTCTGATGACTTTTCAGGTTTAACAACAAATTCAGTGAACTGTAACATCATTCTCTGACAATTCACATTAACAGGGTTTGTTTTTTTTTAACCAAATGTAAATGAATAGATGTTTATTCTCAGAAAATCACTGTCACCTAGATGTGGTGAAAAAATATATTAAAAAGCTTTACTTACTTTGGATGCTCAAACTTGTCTATGAGATCAACCTTCTCTACTAGGTCCCCTCCAATGGTTCGGACTAAGTCATAGAAATCATTCTCAGAGTAATTCTGAGAGGGTAGCCAGAAGGAGATGTCATTCACCAAAGCTGGGTACTTGCTAAGAGGCTAAAAAAACCAAAAAAAGATGAATTTTTAGTGTGGAAGGGAAATATTCTACATTTTTATGGCAAGTTTCAATTGGCTAATTGGGAAAAGTTAATGAATCCTTAATTTACTTTCTGTATTTTGAGAATAAAACAAGCTTAAAGGATAAATTCATCTCAAAATTTAGATTATTTCATTATGAATACAAAAGATTCTTATCATAATTGTATAATACAACCATATATTAGATTTATAGTTTCTCTAATGGTCAATTTAGTATTAAAGCAATTTGAATTTATCATATTGCAAATTTTCTCATTTGAATGTTAGAGAAGGAAAAAGGTTCAATTTAATTAAGAAGAGATTCATTAACTGCCTATGATACTTTCTGGAAACCGTCTTAATTTAGAAATAAGTAGTTGTCTTTATGAAATGGATATTTCAATTAGTAATGCTTTCATTATTTGTTACTTATAATTATTTATTAAAATAAAATGCTGGGTTGATTAGCAAGATTTTCTTAAAAATGGGATTACTTCTTAAATTATGCCTTTAAGAAAAAGTGCCATAAATATGAATACTAGAGTCTCTTCCCTCTGACTTTTTTATGTAAGTTTTCTCCATATTCAGTATTTCACTCTTTCATCAGGCATGTGTTTAAACATTAGAGAAGTTATTGGTTTTCAGAAGGGAACATGGGTGAGCAAGACGACTTTGAAAGTTACATGTTGAATTTGTTCTATGCTTAAAGGAAAAAAGTGTAATACAGGTTTAAAGTTTTATGTTCTATTTTGTATGTGGAAATGCTGTGTTATTTGGTATTAAGTTTAAATTTAAAAATAAAAAAAAAATGACTGTCCTTGTTTAAATGGCTTCCACAGATACTACAACCTGTATATAAAGGTTTTGGACTACATAGGATATTATCTCAATCAAAAATCATATCTACATTCTGAAATATTTTATGACACAACAACTGAGAAATCCTAAGTGAATACTTGATAAAGCTATAAACTTGTTAGGAGGACAAATATATACAACGAATTGATTTATGCTGCCTGGGTAACTATAGTATAAGCCATCAATGAATACCTGATAAGGAAAACAGCACAACTTTTAAATTAGCACATTCTCTAGGGAATCAGTGTAACAAAAATGATTACTCAACTTGAAATATGAATAAAGTTGTCAGACCAATGCATTGGATTGGAACCCCAATTTCAAACTTGAACACAATAAAGCTATCATGTAGGTGTGCATTATAAAATATCCTGCTAAGGAAGACGGGATCCATTTCCTCTCCAAGGAGTCAAGCTGCAGTGCTAAATAATTACCACAACTGTTAGAAAGAAATAAAATGAAGGGAATTTAGTGATTATATTGAGGTAGAAGGGAGAATGAAACATTCTTGCTCAGATGTTTTTTTCTTATATCCACCTACACTATGGGATGAGACTCTGATGTCCCATGAGCAGCATGAAAGCTTAACTAAACTAGTTCCTTAGAGACATTCATTATTAAAGAGGGGAAAATGGTCTAGAAAGAATATATACATACACACATACACACACACATAAAATCTACTCTTTAGCTAATTCAAGACTAGCAAATGCAACTAGCAGCAGTAGCAGAGCATGAGCAAAGAGACAGGGATGAATAGAGGAATAGGGGCTTGCTCATTGGGGCATGGCATACCTCTGTGTCTGCAGTCACATGACAAATCAAATTGCTCTGGGAAGATAATGGATTCAGGGAGAGTGCTAGTTTCCAAGACACACATTTCTCTAACATATGAGAAAAGTTAAGTGCTTAGTGAAGAAATTTTTTTTAAAAGTTACACAACAAAGTTTTCTTTAAAAAAATCTTTTTTTATTCCTCCTGCCCACATCTAACCACACTACATGCTCTTTATAGTACACGTGCTTCTCTGTTTAGAGGTTCTAGCCACCCTTTGCCCTATATGTGTGTATGGCATATCTACCATGAGACAATAAACTTCCTGAAGGTAATCTGTACCAATCTTTGTACCACCTCCTGCCTCCGACAATGTCTTATACACAGTAAATGCTTAATCAATGAATTTAAATAAATATAGTCTAACTTCCTCATTTTATTTTGGATTAGGAAATATATCCAAAGAGATGAAATGATTTGTGCAAATTAACAGTTGCGGCAAGAAGCATTTTCAGAGTAAGCAACAGAACCCAAGACTTAATGTCTTTTTCTCAACCTTCCAATTTTCCTCAAAAAAAAAAAAATTAAGCATCATTCCTGGTTACTAGTCATGTAAGCAACAAACTGGTAGACTGGACATTTTCTCAGATCCTCATGACCTCTCCAACTTCAAATCAGAAATTATGTGCCAAAGATAAAGTAACTTCAATTGCCTCCTTGGTTTAGGACATCCAGAAACCAAAAGAAGATAAAACAAAATAAAACCCAAACCCAAGAATCCTGAGCTCACTTAGCACTCCTCCCCCAACTCCAATATTACTGGCACCAAGGCTGGACTAGCAGACCCAAGAACATGACACAGGCTTATTCACTCATTCCTACATCAAAACTCACCCCTCTACCCTAGCTTCCCCTTCCCTCTTTCTAGAGCCATGGAGACCCTGGTTCTATACTGCATTAGTCTGCCTGGGTCTCAACAGCCAACTTGGCCATAGCCCTTCAAGAATAAAGGCCTGCTGGGGGTAGCAACCCAGCAGCACTAGAACTGCAAAGCTCTGAACTGCCAGTGTGGGAGAAAACAGGCTCTGAACTGCTGATGCTTGGCTAGAAAACCAAGAAACAGAAAAAGTGGGACAGATCGCCAGGACAGGACACTGCGTGTGTGTGTATTTGAGGGCTATGAAGCACTCTACCAAACCTGAGGGGAAAAAAAAAGCATAGCATCCAGCTGGGACAGTTCAAATTTGACCACCTAAAGTCAGATGGGGCAGAGACCCAGGTTGGCAAACTGTGAATTGCCCAACTTGGGGGCAGACTGAGGTGCTTTAAGAGCCAGTTCCCAAGGAAATCACAATCAGAAGGAAAGGAGTCAGGAAGTGAGGGAGAAGGAAAATAAGAAGGAAAAAATGATTGAAAGGAACAAAGATTTCAGGAAGAAGAAAATTCAAAGACCTTGAACATAAACAGATAAATCAATAGGAAAAACAGTAATAACAGAAGGAAACAGGGCCTCCAGATCTAAAAAGCACGCTCATGCATCTATGAAGAAATATTGCAAAAAAAAAGGAAAATGATTCAATTCTTTTCCCTTTCAAACATTTATTTTCCCCAATTACATGTACAAAGTTTTTAACATTTGTTTTTTTAAAATTTTGAGTTCCAAAATCTCTCCTTTCCTCTCTACTTTCCCCCTTCATTGAGAAGGTAAGCAATTTGACATAGGTTATACATGTGCAGTCATGCAAAATATATTTCCATATTAGTCACGATGTGAAAGAAAACACAGAGCCCCACCCCCCCCAAAAAAACCCAAGAAAAATAAAGTTAAAAAAAAAGCATGCTTCAATCTGCATTTAGACTCCATCAGTTCTTTCTCTGAAGGTGCATTGCATTTTTCATCACGAGACCTTCAGAATTGTCTTCGATCACTGTATTGCTGAGAATAGCTAAGTCATTCACAGTTGATCATTCAATATTGTCATTACTGTGTAGAACATTTTGGTTCTGCTCACTTCACTTTGCATCAGTTCATGTAAGTCTTTCCAGGTTTTTCTGAAAATATCCTGCTCATCATTTCTTAGGGCACAATATTATTCTACCACAATCATATACCACAACTTGTTCAGTAGTTCCCCAGTTGACGGGCATGCCCTTAGTTTCCAATTCTTTTGCACTACAAAAAGTGGTGCTATAAGTATTTTTGCATACATAGGTCTTTTTTCTTTTCTTTTTTTCTTTTTCTTTTTCATCTCTCTGGGATACAGACCTAATAGTGCTATTGATGGGTCAAAGGGTATAAATAGTTTTATAGCCTTTTGGGCATAATTCCAAATTGCTCTCCAGAATGGCTGGATCAATTTACAACTCCACCAAAAGTGTATTGGTGTCCCAATTTTCTCACATCCCTTCCAACATTTGTTATTTTCTTTTTCTGTCATATTAGCCAATCTGATAGGTGTGAGGTGATACCTCTGAGTTGTTTTAATTTGCATTTCTCTAATCAATAGTGATTTAGAGCATTTTTTCATATGATTATAGATAGCTTTCATTTCTTTGTCTGAAAACTGCCTGTTCATATCCTTTGACCATTTACCAATTGGGGAATGACTTGTATTTTTATAAATTTGACTCAGTTCTCTATATATTTGAGAAATGAGGCCTTTATCTGAGACATTTGTTGTAAATTCTCCCCCCATTTTCTGATTTCCTTTTAATCTTGGTTGTATTGGTTTTGTTTGTGCAAAACTTTTTTAATACAATGTAATCAAAATTATCCATTTTACATCTCATAAGCTCTCTGTCTTGTTTGTTCCTAAATTCTTCCTTTATCCATGGATCTGACAGGTCAACTATTCCATGCTTTCCTCATTTGCTTATGGTATTACCCTTTATGTCTAAATCATGTACCCACTTTGACCTTATCCTATTATAAGGTGTGAAATGTTGGTCTATACCTAGTTTCTGCCATACTGTTTTCCATTTTTCCCCCAGAAGTTTTTGTCAAATAGTGAGTTCTTGTCCCAAAAGTTTAGATCTTTGGGTTTATCAAACACTAGAATACTATGGTCATTTACTACTGCATATTGTTCACCTAATCTATTCTACTGATCATTTTTTTTTAGTCAGTACCAGAATGTTTTGATGATTACTGCTTTGTAATACAGTTTGAGATCTGGCACAGCTAAGCTAAAGCCTTCCTTCACATTTTTTTAAATTGATTCCCTGATATTCTTAACCTTTTGTTCTTCCAGATGAATTTTATTATTATTTTTTCTAACCCTATGATTTTTAGTAGTCTGATTGGTTTGGCACTGAATAAATTAATTTAGGTAGAATTGTTATTTTTA